TTTGCTCTCCCAAAAACCTCAGTGTTGGTATAGAAGTCATAACTCGGCGGAGTATCCAACGTGTCATATCCAGAAAAGACTCCAGAGCTGCGGGAGGCCACGCTGTCGGTATCATAACTGCTACATCCCCCCAAACTGAATTTACGGTCATCTCCATTGCTCAACGAAGAGACTGAGAAAGGGCTTCTGGCGGTTGTGAGGTTCATCCCTTCCTTGGCCTACAGTACCTCCAACACTACTAAATCAACAGCCGTCTGAGTGAAGCGAGGGCTTGATTTGAAGGGTTATATTATACCTGAGCCGGAAGGAACCACTTATGGATGTATGATTAGTGTGAGAACATATTCAGGAGCTTTTGTAAAGGTCATTAATTCGTAATTGTTGCTGCAGGGCCTTTTGCTTGTACTGGGGCTTGTAAACAACATCAGAACATGTAATGACTCAGATCTCAGGTCAGATATCCTTGACACTGGTTCTCAAGGACAACTGCAGGTTTTGAGAGTCCTGTGTCATGCATAAGAAACAATACATTACAAATTTCTTTGGGGAAAAAACATTGTCAATAGTCATTGTCATTAATTTAATTTAATTTAATTTAATTTAATTTAATTTAAAATGTAATTTAAAATGTAATTTAAAATGTAATTTAATTTAATTTATAGTTTAGTTTTAAGTTTTGTTTTTTCACCTCTGACAATTTAGTAGTGTTTTTTGTTTTTTTTTGATAGCAATCAGGACAAATTACAATACCGGGAAAACTTTCTGAACAATGACTTTTGTTTGATTGAGATACAAATTAACACTTTATTTTACAGTGTCCTTGTTACGTCACATGTACTTACTTTAATAATAACAGTAAATTCAACTAACCCTAAACCAAACCCTACCCTAACCCTATAGTAAGTCCATGTTAATTAATATTACTCGGTGCTTAAATGTTTAATTACAGTGCAACAAGACACCTTAAAATAAAGTGTAACCAAGAAACGATATTGACTGAGACAGTGTATTTGTCTTGATCAGAGAATTGTCCAACCCGTAGTGACCTTCATTTGAGCTACTTTAACCTGCCAACAGCTCACAGTCGTTCCAACTGACAGCCTTTTGCCTTAAGCGTTGACTGATCATTGCAGAAACAGTTCCCCATTAACTAAAAGACCGATGTCTGCCAATGCATATGACCCAGGGAGCAGCATTGGGTTAAGTAATTATTTCTGCAGAAATTGGTCTGGAAGCCCCAAAGGTAGAGCCTTTTCAGTGTAATTAGCGCAGATCCTACAAACGTACCCACAGGTGCTTTTTTGATTAAATTTCTATTATTAGACACCAAGAGCTTAAGCAGAAAACCAGCTACTAAACGGTCATTTTGAAATCCTCATGCTGCCTGAGGGGAGCTGTCAGAACAAGGAGTAGAAGACTGTATAAAATGGTTTAAATTGAAATTACACTGAGTCTACTGTAGGAAACACAGCCAAATGTTCATATTACATAAAATCATACTAATGACATCAAAAGATGGATTTAATCTGATAAAACCTAATGTAAATTTTAACAATTGCATGTACATATTAAATAAGATGGACAGTCCTCTTATGATGATAATTTGTAATGAATAAATATAAATTAAGAAAAATAATGCAAAATATACAAAAGTTTGGAGTTAGTACATTTTTTTTTCCGAAAGAAATTAATACTTTTTATTCAGCAAGAATGCATTAAATTGAGCAAAAGTGACAGTAACGACATTGTTACAAAAATAATTCTATTTTAAATAAATGCTATTCTTTTGAACTTTTTACTCATGTACATGCAAGAATCTTAAAAATGTATCATGGTTATAAATCAATCAATCAATAAATAAGCAAGGAGCACAATTGTTTCCAACATTAATAAGAACTGTTTCTTGATCACACTGTAAAAAATGCAACTGCACATTTTCCAGGTTACGAAACCTTTTGAGTCTCAAATGCTATTTTCTTGAAACTACATAAAAACCCTTGTCAGACCAACAAAATTACCCCAAATGTTGTCCCAATTAGTCAAACACAGTTGTCTGAACAAAGAATTTCATATTGTTGAAATGTTAAGGCTTTGTGAGTTCCTAGCATGCATTGCAGCATGAATAAATTATGCAGTTACTGTTATAGGATTATTGTTTTGCTGTTTGCTGACTTAAATTCAACTTTTTTCTTGTTGTTTTGTCATTATTGTTAGTCATTTGTTCTTTTCTATCTTCACTGTGATGTAAAGAGCTCATCTTTTTAATATTTGTTGATTGCCACCGTTCTTGAGGTTTGTGTGTTTAGTTTTGAGGCCTAGAGAACGTTGAGCCATTAAGAAACTACACAAAAGCCCTTGTCAGACCAACAAAATTACCCCAAATGTTGCCTCAACTAGTCAAACACAGTTGTCTGAACAAAGAATTTCATATTGTTGCAAAGTTAAGGCTTTGTGAGTTCCCAGCATGCATTGCAGCATGAATAAATTATGCAGTTACTGTTATAGGATTATTGTTTTGCTGTTTGCTGACTTAAATTCAACTTTTTTCTTGTTGTTTTGTCATTATTGTTAGTCATTTGTTCTTTTCTATCTTCACTGTGATGTAAAGAGCTCATCTTTTTAATATTTGTTGATTGCCACCGTTCTTGAGGTTTGTGTGTTTAGTTTTGAGGCCTAGAGAACGTTGAGCCATTAATGTTTGTTAGCTTGGATATGTTAGAATTGTAAGTTGTTTTACAAGCGAAGACAATGTTGTATACATATAAGACTAAGTTATCCATTAAAAGGGTCATATGATGCGATTTCAATTTTTCCTTTCTCTTTGGAGTGTTATTACACCAAATAATGTTCTTTTTAGCAGCATCATATGACCCCTTTAAGGTTTATCATTCGTAAATAAATAAATCTAAAATCAATAATGTGGTGACTTTTTAAACATTCGTTTTGTCTTCCAGGAAACAGAAGAAAATAAATTACCTTCAACGACATTAATTGATGTTTCAGATGCTGTGACAAGAATTTTCCTATTAGCAAAATAAGACAATCTAAACAAAGTCTAAACAAAGTATCTTTACTGAGAAGAACTAAAATACTATTGTTGAGAGAACTCAAAAGTCTTAATGCATCAAGTTGATTTTTTTTTTTTTTTACGTTTACTCAACTATTTATTTTTTACAGTGATCACCAATTCAGCATATTAGAATGATTTCTGAAGGATCATGTGAAGACTGGAATAATGGCTGCTGAAAATTCAGCTTTGCCATCACAGGAATTACATTTAAAATATATTAAAATAGAAAACAGTTACTTTAAATAGTAATAATATTTCACACACATTAAAAATTAGAATCTTCATTTTAGTTGTAAAGTTTTATTTCAAAGAACCACTGTATTTTAAATGAGGATAATACATTAACGTACATACAGTATGTACACAGAGGTAAGTTCTGTGAAGGGGATGGATGATTTGTTAGGTAGAGCTCCTTTGTTGGCAGCGGTGTGGTGCCACCCTGGTGTTGTGAAATAGCCGGGTTATCGCGGACGTGTGACATCGGCCTGATTCACAACACCAGCTGCAGCACACACACCTCACACACCAGTCCAGGAGGTGTGAAGATGAATCTTTTTCCTCCAGATCTTCTTCTCCAGGTTCCAAACCAAACTGAGTTCCTATTTGACGTGTGTGATGTACTGATGCTGGAAGATTTAATAAAAAAATGATGCAAGGACAAGATTTGTCTTTGAGGAATAGCTTTTGTTCAAAGGGTGAAATAAAGTTGAAACAGCCTGATTGTTGTGCATCCAGTACCTTGAATTTAGGACAGTGCACTCTAATATTAATGCAGCAGCTCCAGATGCTAACGGTTAAAAATGCAAAGCAGAGCTTAGAGGGAGCTGGAGCAGACACTGCAGCCGGCCGTGACAAAGCCAACACGTCCATCTGTGTGCTCTACGGGCATTTCCTCCATAACCCACCATCTGCTGACAGAATCAATGTCACACAGACACATTCCTGCTCTCCTAACTCTCTGAAAGGGCTCTAAACATTCCCTATCCGGCCACTTGTTTGTACTACACAATATATATTTTAATGAATAAAGTATGAGCCAACCAAAACAGAGGCAAAAAAATATACAGGTTTCCCACGTTTTGATCAATTCATTTCCATGAACTGTCATTTTTGATTCAGGCTGATTTGTGAACGGATTGATCTTGTGAAGCAATTTGAATGATTTAATAAAAGGCTTTAGTTTACATACACTGAAGATGAACAATGAAGAAATCTTCCAAATCATTTATTAATCTTAATGCTAATTTCATTATTAAAATCAAAAGTTGTCTGTTAATATTATTTAATGGACCTGAACTAATAACGAAGAGTTGTATTTTTATTAACTAATGTTAACAGATGAATAAATACTGTAACAAATGTATTGCTCAGTGTTAGTTAATGCATTAACTAATGGGGACAATTTGTAAAGTGCTTCCCTTAATAGAAAGAATTGCTCACAAATCACTACAGTTGGTGTTTTACACTACACAAGCTCTATCAACAACAATGTGTAGTCAATAAAATATTTCAGAACAACTCATAACTAGTAAAATGTATAGTAAGCTCTGACCCCGGAAAGTTTTTCTGTGAGAACCCTGTATATACAGTACACAGATTGTTGGCTGCCACCAAATCCACCAAAGTGGCTAATCTTACTGTTAATGACATAATAAAGAATACTATTGTCATGTGATGTGCACATTGATTGTTTGCACTGGATTTCATATTGAATTGATATTGAATCTCATGAGTGATAAGCTGTAATAGTGTATTTGATTAGTTTCATATAGCTTTTATATTAGACTATGGCATTTAAAATTAAATTGATTTGCAACTGAAATGTAATCAAATAAACAGAAAGTGCAGGACAAAACAATGTCACATCAAATAAAAAAAACTGAAAAAAAAGGTTTACGATATAAGAAATGAAATTGAAACAAAATTGAACTCAATTTCATTTTTTTTATTTCAAATAATGGAAAAAAATACAAATATAAGTTGACAAAAGTAATGATGGAATGAGGACAATGAAAGAGAGCTGCTGGAGAAGGGTCAAGGGGGGAGTTTCAGTTCATTAGGACCTCCATCTGAACCAGTCTGGCATTGGTATCTCCAGCCATCCGATACGGAATCATTCCCGCAAACGTGATCAGAGCCCGGGCTTGACTGCGCAGCAGCTGCAGAGAAAGTAGACAAATGCAACCGCCGGTAGTCACACACACACTTGAGAAGAGCTAATCACAATTAAAATGTATTGTCACAATGTGTGTCCAATGTCCAGTGAATAATGGACTCACACTCAGGATTAGCTTTATAGTTGAATAAGCAATCATTTTAACTTAGAAAATATGTTTTACCATGTCTCTGTCCTCTAGGGTACGCTGAGGTCTTCCCGGCGTACCTGCTGCAGCCCCCTTTAGACGCTTGTACTGTGTGAACAGGATATTCATTGTGGCCAACAGAACCTCTGACAAATTGTGTCTTATCTGTGAAAAGATTAGGACACAATGGAGAGAATGTCATGTTAATAAATGTCTCCATTCTGGTAATTAAAAAAAGAATAGTTTTTCAAAATTATACAGACAGTGTGTAGTCAGTTTTTAATATTGTAAAAATACAGTTTTTAGTCAACTCAACCAAAAAGCAAAGACGTATTAATTTGGGGTCACCTGAAACGACACAACAGCTTAGCATATGTTTTCAGATTTCTTACCTCATCGCTGAAGTTTCTGAATGCAGCAACCCGCTCCTCCACACTGTCCTGACTTAAGGGAACCAGCTTTAGCCTCTCAATCACCTGACACAGAATGGCACAAAAATAAAGATTAATGCCTGACAGCATGTGCCCAAGGTCAGCAGGGGTCTTATAGGTGACTTACATCGTAAGCTCGGTCTATGTGGCCGGCGTGGTACTCATCAAAGAACGTCATGAGATCCAGAAGCAGGTAGAAGGTGCTGTCCACAGACTTCTCCCCAGCTATACCGTTAGTACGGTGCCTGTGCTCAAGAAATACAAGAAACCATTTGGTGTTCAATGAAACTACAATCTACAAGATCAAAAAAAAAAATGATGATGGACGCCTGTTTCTGCCTCAAAATTAAAGTAATTGTGAGATAATATTTAAAAAAAAGAAAAAGTTGCATTTGCGAGATAATGTAACAATTACAAGAAACAGTCACTTTGCAGGAAATAAAGTTGCATTCGGAAGATATAAATCATTATTACAAGAAACAAAGTTGCAGTTTCAAGACGTAAAGTCACAATTGTGAGATACTGTATAAAGTTGCAATTAGGAGACAAAGTAGTAATTGAGAGGCAAAGTAGCAATAATGCAAGATATACAGTCACAATTGACAAATTGCAACTAAGAAATAAAGACACTGTGATCTATGAAATTGCAATTGGTAGATATAGTTTCAATTGTCAAATATAAAGTTGCAACTGCAAGAAGTAAAATTGCAACAGTTATAAAGTTGCAACAGTTCACAACTGGAAGATATATTGTTGCAATTGTGAGATGTGAGGTTGCAATTAAAAGAGGCCAAGCCATTATTCAGAGATATAGAGTCTCAACTGCAACCTATTAAGTCACATTTGAGAGATATAAAGGCACAATTTGGGCAATATTAAGTCGCATTGTGAAATATAAAGTTGCAATAATGAGATGAAGTTCTGTAGTGAGATACAAAGTTGGGATTATGATCAATTATGAGAAATAAAGTCGCAATTGTTAGATAAATATTTTTTTTGTACTTTACACAGAAAATGGCTTTCATAGTTTAAAAAGGTCTGTGTAGAAAATGCTCACCGTTCAGCAATAGCCACTGCCATGTTTTTGAGTCGCTCTTTGTTGGACTGGGGCTCGCTAACTTGAGCGATAACTGGACTCAACAATTTGTTCATCAGCTCCAGAACCTTATCAGCGTTCTAATGCAGGAAAAAAAAGATGCTTTAGGCACAATCATCATGAGACTAATCAACCCAACGTCACTACTTATCTTACCTTGGCTAACTCGTACAGTTTGACGGCCTCCTCAAACAACCTCTTGTTCTCAGCCTCTGAGGCCACCTTGGTAATGATGGCCCGCGTGTCTCCAGCGAACTTGTCGATCACGCCGGGCTGAAGGGATTCAAACAAACACTGCTTAGAGCTGATGAAGACTCTGAATGCACAATGGTGTTGTCAAATTGCTTTGAGCATGAAAGGCCAGACTGTGTTGCAAAGGCCTTTGAGACAATAGCACATTCTACACAGCCATGCAAGACTGAACGAACAAAATAACGAACAAGTGAGTTACTGTGAAAGAACAGTAGCATGTTCACTGTCTGCAAGTCAGGTGATATTACAAAAGCCTCCAACATACCTTTCTGCTTCCATCTTTTTCGAGTCTTCCAAGAAGCATATCGAACTACAGGAAGAGAGTTAAGTATTGACAGATATTATGCAATAATAATAGCAATTAGTATGCAGAAACGCTTCCTCCAATGAGCTCGCACACGTTTCTTACCTCCCGACTCTCGATGACTAGCTCGCTGACACAGCGCATGAACATGTTTTCTCCTTGACTGTCCTTCTCATTCCTGTGGCCAATCAGAAAACAGTGATCGTGAGTTTTCACTCAGTGAAGTACAGCAATTATGCCATTTGTAGCACGAAAGCACTTGGGCCTGCAAAGGAATGTGTTCGCTTTGTGATATGCATGCAAACCCCGAGATAAGAGACCTTTAGAAGATCAACTGTTTTCTTTTTGTAACGGTGCCTGTGAGGTCTCTTAAAACAATGGGTCGAGTTAGCATTGAATTCAGTGTGCATGGAACAGGTTTAATTATTCATGGATCATTCGTGGAAGGTTCTGAGTTATTCATGACACATTAATCTCTTCTCAGAGAGGGATTTTGCTCAGTATTTTCAGAGAAAAAGACATGACTTATAGTTCAGCCACTGATCAAACAGGAAACAAGCTGATTTTAGAACAGGTCTGGTGTGTTGAAGCATAGATTTGCTCAACAGCTCTTTTAGTATGTTACCCTAAATGACCCAATAGCATCAGCTGGGGTTAGGACGACCATTACCGGAGAAAGTAGAAGTACTGCAGGGCCTCTCGTGCGTCTGTGGACTCAAACTTGCGGGTGTAGAGCATAAGCAGCCTGATGAAGTTGAGCCTTCGCACCATTGGAGGATCTCCAGCTTCTTGACTCACTGATAAAAGACCAAAAACCTCTTTAGAACAAAAACCAGATACAATTTTGAGTTATCACTTATTGTTGAGAACTTACAGAGTTGTGCGCTCTGGCCCGATGATTTGAGCAGCAGTTTGAGTTCGTACAGCACCAGAGCTACGTGAACGGCATGGCTGCGCAGACGCTCCACTCGGAAAAGGAACGCTATAGCCGCCTCAAACTGTGCAGTCAGGAAAAGCACCTGGAAGTACAGGAATGGCTGGTGGCTGGCCGAGAAATGGGTCTCACCTGCAGAAAACGATTTAAATAATGCCACACACCTTTATGAGCATTTGGGATAATCCAAAACCACTTACAGAACATTATAAACCACATATTGGGAATGTGCACATGCAAATGCAGCCAGTAAGGATTTGTAACTTAAGGAATTGAATGCTTCTTTAAGCGAGTAATAGGTTCCACATAAATCTTCCTCAGCTGTGAAGGGCTTAAATAGGCTGTTTCATTTCCATTTGCATGAGTTGAAATAATCCCCTCTCATTTAAATTGGCGTTAAAACTGACGTCTTAAAGCGGCATTGAAAAGACCTGCTGCGACTTCGCATGGAGCGTAATGGCAGCGCAGCTGGGAGTGAAGGAGTCTTATCAGCAATAGAGGGAGTCTTTAATGTAGTGTACTGCAGGAGCGCCGGCGAGATAAGACTGACTCATCAGGCAGGTGGAAGAAACTAAGCGGATGCCTTTTTAAAACTGGGCGAGGAGAAGTTTAAGCCATGAGAAAACAGCACAATGACATACACTTTTATCTGGGTTAGGCACACTGGCAGACACTGAATAGGGGGGTTTGCATACTGCCTAACTTCCTAGTCTTTCAAATGCCCATTTAAATCTCTTCCTTTAGGACTGGAGTCAATCTAAAGATAAGTGGGCTGATTTATTGGCTGTATGGAATAATTTGATCTGAGTTTCACTCATTCAGAGAGACCACTTGTTTTAAAGAGCTGAGATTAAGATATACTGCCTGAATTTTGTAACTAATATTATTTAATAGTGTAGTCAGCTTAATCCAGTTTAACAAAAGCTGCTAGGATTCCCTTGTGACACAGCAAATTTTTTCCAAAATATTCATGATGTGTTTTCTCTGAATCTGATTGAATCCAGCTGAAACCTGTCTGTCACAGAACAGCTTACATTCTTATTTTGTTACAACCCAGTTTTGACTGAGTAAATGTGATACACTGTTAAAAATGTTGGAATTTTTAATAAACGTAAATGTTTCAATTAAATAAAAGTATATAGTATATACTATATGTGACCCTGGACCACAAAACCAGTCATAAGGGTAGAGAGAGAAGTAGTTACCAAAAACAGAGGAGAAATAGTCCTCTTAGGATGTGATCTAGTTTTGGGATGAGTGTATGTGCGTTCTCACCGTCGGTCGGGGCTGTTCATGTATTCCTGAAACCAAATCTTAAAGTCGCCCAGCTGATGCTGTGCCCTGTTCACCACCTGCATGGCGGCAGACAGGTCTCCACAACGCAGGCAGAAATAGATCAGAGCCCACACTGGATGTCCCTCCACCTCACCGTCCTGTTACACACATACACACGCAGCAGGGTTTATCCTTGGGTCACACTGCGTCCATTTACCTCCTTTTTACTTTCAGCTCTGAAATAAGCAGCTTATTGGCCCATGCAGGGAGAATCCACTGCTGTTATCTAAACTACGGCAAGCCACACTCTGCGCAGTTCACTCGAGAGTATCAGCAGTAAAGGCATCTAGACTGTATGATGTAGTGCTGCCTGTTGCTGTGTGGTGTAGACACGTTCTGCTGCAGTACCTGCATGCCTGGCAGCGGGGTCGGCAGCTTGATGTTCAGGAAGCTGCATACGAGCTGATAAGTGCCAGGTACTCCACCCAGCTGAGCCTGATGCAGATTCCCAAATACAGTGACCATAGTGTAATTTTTATAGCTGTAGAAGAGACACAAGCAGTCCATTTTTCTAGTTGATAAAAGTACATACTGGGTTCACTAACTTTCTGACCAGTGAATTTAAATGTTTTTCCCATTATCCTGTTAGAACTAAATGTGAAGCTGTTTGACAGACTGATTGAAATAAATTGACAAAAAAATGGGTAGTTCACAAACCTGAACTCACTGTGTAAAGAGCAAAATCTAACCCATTACATATTTTGGAGAGCACAGAATCGATATTTACAAGTTTCCCTAAAATCATTTGATTATTTTTCATGATATTTCCAGGTTTTCCAACACCATGGGAACCCTGAACATACACTACCATTCAAAAATGTGGGGTCACTAAGATTTTTTGGCAAGTAATTACTACTTTTATTCAGCAAGGATGCATTAAATATTTCAAGCTACAAAAGATTTATTTCAAATAGAAGCTGTTCTTTTGAAATTTCTATTAAAAAATATATCACAGTTTTCGCAAATATATTAAGCAGCACAACGGTTTTCAACAATAATAATGATAAAATTGATTATATTAAGAAATGTTTATTGAGCAGCAAATTAGTATATTAGAATAATTTCGAGTTATTAAAATTGTTATTAAACTGTATTTTAAAATTATTTAAAACAAATACATGCAGCTTTAGTTAGCATAAGAGACTTCTTTCAAAAACATTTTAAAAAATCTTTTCAATGGTAGTGTAACTTCAGAATTGTACAACCAATTTCCACAATAAACTGGAAGTTTCTAAACAAAGAATAAATTGTACAACTCTACACTGAAGCTTTGTTTTTATGTAAATCGTTTTTTTTAAATACTTTTTAATTTATAATTCAATTTATTTAAAATCAATAATAATTAATTAAATAATAAATAATTACTGAAAAGTAATTTGTTGAAAAACACTGACAATCACATTTAATCGCCATTAGCATAAAAATACGTTTACATTTATTCATTTAGCAGACGCTTTTATCCAAAGCAACTTACAATTGGGGAATACATCAAGCGATTTATCTTAAAGAGGCAAATAGACACAGGAAGTGCTCGTAATACCAAGTTTCAAGCATATATAATTTTTTTAATAATTATTTATATATAAATATTTTTGCCTACTGGTAATTTCAATATTGCAAGATCCCTACTTAAAACTAGTTTACGTCAATATTATCTCTCTAAACAAAGAGCGAGCTGAATTTTCTTTCTCACCTGTTCTCCAGGAACTGCAGGGCTTGTCTGACGAAGGCCATCTGCATGTCCACAGACACTCTGCACTTCAGCGTGTCCTTTGCTGGCACCAACAGAACGTCTGTCATCTGCTTCACCATGAGCCACATGTCTGACACGTTCTGCAAACACATGCACAGACAACTTTACAGAAACACTATTAAAGCAATCACTCCCCTATATTTCTGAGACAAAAAGCATAGACACACAGTGAAGCCAGGCCGAATGTGACATACCTTATGATCCAGGCTTTCTGCTACTGAGGCACAGAGATCTCCCAGGTTGGGTTGAAGATGCCCATTTACTATCTTCTCATTGAAGATATAGATCTAAACAAAAAAGGAAAAATGCAAATTGAGAATGAAGGTCAAAGACTGATTGCTGTCTAAGGCCAAGCTCTCCATAGCTGGATCTGCTATTATCTGGAGGTGAAGTGTAGGATGATGAAAAACAAAACAAACAGGATGAAAATGTTTAGAAGGTCTTCGAAAAAGAGCACAAAGATCAGGAAGATGACTCCACAGGTGATGTGGCGACACATGATTCAACAAGGCAAAAAAAAAAGAGAACAATGGAAGAGATAGACGGCCCTCCCCTTTATGGATAGATTGGGAGCTTACCCATCATGCTTCGTTCCAGCCAATCAATCTGATCAATCAAGCTAGGCTTGCACAGCACAGCACAGCACAGCAGAGCACAGAACCCCCAACTGCTCCCCAGTCACCGCAGCATTGGCTGCCCACTGCTCCGGGTGTTTGTTCACAACTCACTACTGTGTGTGTGCACTTAGAGCTAAGCTTAACTAAATGAAAAGGTATTCTGATTAACTATGAGCCAATCTTTTTTTAAGATGTCTTATAACTAGGATTGCATGATTTATTAGCGTCCAGTTTGATGTTGTCCAATCTCTATCAGTATGATGTTTCAAAAGTACTTTCTATTGGAAATTATAGCATTTTGATGACTGACTGCATGCATGTATAACTGTGTACTAAAGCTTTAATAGATTTTTTAATTATGAAGTTTATTTTTATATTATTATTTATTAAAATTACCCATTAATAAAATAAACTAAAGCCATATTTTTATACTTTATTATACACACACGCGCACACAAATAAATGAATGAAATGTACAGAATGTTTTATAAAGATATTTAAAAAAATAATAATAATTCTGTATGTGTGTGCTTATGGTGTAAACGTATGGCTTTCTACAAACCTGTCGGCTGTAGGCAACTTCCACATTGTTCAGTGCACTGCGTCCTGGAACTCCGACCTCACTCACGAAACTGGGCTGTAGGGCACATAGCAACAGTCGTTAAGGCACAAACAAGGACGTCTACACAACAAGACCGTATTAATATTCTCTACGTGTGTAGGTGTGCATATGTGCGCCTGTAAAAGCGTGGGTTTGACAAGTACACAAGCTGCGTTTATCTCGGAGAGTTGCTTTAATCTAAATGCAGTGACCAATGTAGCGTGAAGCTATTGTGAAGAACATAACTCACGCTTGAGAGCACACAGCGCAGTATTGTGAATACACAGAGAAAGAGACAGACAGAAAAACCTTAAATTGTATACGTGGACATGAATTTATCTCTTCTAAAGAAAAAATGTCACATGTACAGAGAAAGATTTGACAGATAAAGCATATGGTGCTTTAATTGAAATAAATTTCAACACACTCTCTCTCTCTCTCTCTCTCACACACACACACACACTCCACAGTAGCAAATTCCATGAACAGCCTGGCAAGAAAGCCACTGAGGCATTGTAGTTTGTGTGACTATGTAGTGGGGAGGGGGCTACCCAGGCTGGTGGTACAAGGAAGAGTGAGCTCCTGGCATAGGAAGTGAACAGCAGGTCACACATCGAAAATGTAACTGCTGTTTAATAATTAAAGCAGCAGGACAGCAGTCAAAAATCTCCTAGAGCACACAAACATACGTGCATTTGTGTCCAAATTTGCACAAACACTACATTCTTCTTGAATCCTTTATAGGAAAATAAAAGGAAAGAAAAAAGCATATTCTGAGGTTTCGCCTTCTCAAAAAGACAGTCATTGTTTGCCGTAGACAGACTATTGTTCCACTTGAGGACATAAAAGAGATGCAGTTTTTTTTGGTATATTTAGAAGAGGAGTGCTTGTCATCTTCAATGTTTGATGTTTTCTACATCCTTCCCTCTTACTCACCTCTCCATTTTGTGACAGCAGAGATGTGAGCAATGCTGCCAAAAGAGCCTTTATTTCATGAATAATACCCTCTAAAAGCAGCCAATGTCATCTCATCACATGACTGATTTTTTTTTTACTTTTATATGTGAGCATATGAATATAACATAATAGAATAATAGAAATTTTAAAAAAGTATAAAAGTAAATACGTATGTATTAAAATGCTTACAGCATACAAGAGAGTATGTCATGTAATATGTATGAAATATAATATAATATTAAATCTAATATTTTATACACACATACAGCCTATATATATATATATTATAGCTAAATAGCCTAAATATAGTCTAAATCTGTTTTCTAAATCTAAATCAAATCAAACATAAAACTAAATCTACATATATATATATATATATATATATATATGTGTGTGTGTGTGTGTGTGTATAGATAGATAGATAGAGAGAGAGAGATAGAGATAGATAGATAGACAGACAGATAGATAGACATGTCCTATTCTGAAATGTCCTATTCTGAAAAGAACTACAAAAAAAGCTTTTGCCAGATAAGATTTCACTGACAAACAGATCCAGGACAAACGTAGCCACAGGCTGGGTGTATCACGCCAACAGATCTGAACAAGCTCCTTAGATGCTAAATGAGAACATTTGTACTTCACGGATATGCCACGTGTGAAGTGAGGTGAGTGTGTGCTATTACATATCTTACAAGGGAGTTACATCACATCTATCCTGCGTGTGTATTGTGTTTCATGTGGCGTGTTGCTCCTCAGACCTCCACTTCCTGGCTGAAGTCCAGTGCATCCTCTCCAGCTCCCAGCAGGGTGTGCAACACTCTCTGCTTCACCTGCTCCCACTGCACCAACATAGAGTCTCTGTGGTACTCCTCCGCCAGCAAAAATGTCTGCAAGAAAGACAGAACGAGTGAAATAGAGGGGACAAGGTACAAATCACACATAAAAAATGTGATAAATGAGAGTTTAAACTACAAGTTGAAACTACAAAGCCTTCAGCGAATATATAGGTTACCCAACATGTGACGCATTAAAAATAGCTAGTGGAGTAAGAAGGGAGCAGCCTGGATCTGGAAAGCATGCTGTGCACAATAAGCGCTAACGGGCACCTCTATCTTCACACCTCCCCCAATCCCACCTCCGAGGGACAAGGAACGAGAGCTGGGCCTGGGGAGACTCAAACTGGGTCTGGCCCGCTAAAGCCTGGATGCGTGGATGCCTAGCTAATGGAACTTCGCCGCTATCTGGGTCTGTCTTCAAGCCTACCACCGATTTAGCCCGTACCGATTGAATCCGAAGACCTTTTGTCTATTTTACTCCGTCCCGGCGGATCGACGTGTGATAATTGGGATGCGTGGATGCCTAGCTAATGGAACTTCGCCGCTATCTGGGTCTGTCTTCAAGCCTACCACCGATTTAGCCCGTACCCTGATTGAATCCGAAGACCTTTTGTCTATTTTACTCCGTCCCGGCGGATCGACGTGTGATAATTGCGAGTGTTCTAATTAAAAAGGCTTCTGAACTCTGGAGGAAGAGATTTTGGAATCGAGCGTAATGATGGAGGGAGTGAGATATCAGTACGACGTGCTGAAGTTAATGTCAATCAGGTAAAATTTCAAGAGAAGAAACCGCTCAGGAGGGTTTTGTTTTTAAGGGGGAAAACAATAGCATATGGCTTTATAAGCACTTTAGGATCTAACTGTACTCCAGATGATTTTGCTGGGTCAAAAAAGCCATTAATCATCCAGCAATTTACTTTATTCTCACTTGGGGTCCAAAATTAATGCTCAAAATGCAAGTAAAAATTGGCTTTGGAGAGTAGAGTGAATAAATTACTCGCCAGTTGGACGGTAATTTTATTATAAACTGCAGTTGCACATGGTTTATGTCAAATTTTAAGAACGATTGTTTGACACATGCTGATGTAAGTGATGTGCAAGATTCAAATAAAAATGGTCTGCTAAAGTAAACTCTAGGATGTTAAGCCTAGTTTTTGCCCATCTCTTCATGTGGCGTCAGATATAAGTGGAATATTCCTCAAAACACCACAAAAATAAAAATATGAGTAAATAAATCATGATGAGTTGTCACTTTTTTTCTGACAGATACTATTATAAATGGAGACTGGCTTTTTGTCACAACTAAATAATTCCACTGTTATAATATATAGTTACAAATCTGTATAATACAAAATAGTCAGTTAATTAAAAAAATTGATTTAAAGGAAAACAAGTTGATTTTGGGCCTGCCTGTGAGGGACATACATTTTACTGCAGTGCTTGAGGACCCAAAACTTTCACTTTTCACTTTGTCACATACAAGCCATCTGTGTTGTGAGGGTAACAACCTCTTCTTTGGTGAGCAAATTATCCTCTGTCCATTCTTTGCTGACATTCCTCCTCCTGAGAGGTTTGATAGATGGGATATTGACCTGGCAGAGAGCAGCTCTCTGCTGAGAGATGGATAATAACAGGTGAAAGGGCCTGTTTTTACCTCACTGACAGTGGCTGAGGAGACAACAAGGGGGAAAAGGGATTTGACCTAAAACCGAAAGAGCTACAACCTCTGGCAACTATCAGAAGGAGACTGTTTTAAAGGAGCTGTCAGATGAATTGCGTAGATTTGAAATGTCTGGGCAATGCGGGATGTAGTTGCGCTGAAGTTTAACGTTGTTAAAAATCCCATTCCTTTTCTCTACACTGGACAAAAAGACATGGATTGATCGACTGAGCAAATAAATGGATGTAAAAGGATATAGAGAGGTAAAGGAAGATGCTCACCCTGCGGCGTGATTCCTCGATGGCTGACAGCAGTGCATTGTCTCTCTCGTTCTTCAGAAAGCCCTGGAACAAGAGACACGGCATGGAGATTAAACGTACTGCAACCTACTTTCCCCTTTTCTGCATGCAGAGCACACGCCCTCTCTCCCTTTCTCTCTCCTTCCCTCCATACTTCCTCCAAGATGCAAACGCCACAGGCCAGAGATGGAGAATTGCCATCATTATCGAAATTGCTGCTAAAAATGTGCTTAGAATCGACCCTGTGCGAGATCGCTCGCCCAAAATGGTCACTCTCGACTGGTCAGAGCTGGATCAGCAAAGCTTTGGTTCACTACATTTTCGAGTGTACTAAAAGTACTGCGCATTTAAGAAACCCCGCATTAATGCGAACACGTGAACCACGTTCCTACACAAAGAAGTCAATGGACAGTTATGGAAAATGGGGTTCAAACTGCTTGGTTTCCACCCATCTCCCACTCTCAGACTACTCTCTAGGACACAGACAGTTAAACCCTGACTAGAATGTTACCAACTGGAAATCATAAAGCCAACAGCTGCTTATATCTAATTATGGGCCATCATCATCTAAAACGTCATCTTTGTTCGATCACAGATGGAAAACGCACACATCAGTAGCCTCCAAGGATACACAAGCTTCATTTTCTGACTGGATGCCGAGTGTGCAGTTCGAGCAACCTATATGGATGTACTAGGAGTGATCATACTTGATGTACAGCTGGGTAACGACACTCACACACACCCGCATTCGTTTTGATTAAACAGAGAACAGAAAGATCCAGCAGCTGATCCTGAGGACAGAGAAGTCACTGGATCGACGTGCAACACACACACACACACACACACACACACTGAGTGGGGGTTGGGATAGGGAGTGGTACTGATGGAAGGGGAAGCTGGTTCTGATGGGTTTGGAGGATCATCAGACCGCTGAAAAGCCAATTTTCGAAAGGATGGCGAGAAATGTGACCTCTGAACTGGAACCTGCAACCATTGGCTTTTATTATTACAACAAGGATGGAGTCAAAAAAGCATCAGGCACATTTTCCAGGTTTGAGTTTTACTGAATACAGTCGTGTCCTGAAAAGCACACCACATAATCGTAAAAGAATTAACACTGATTTGAGATGTTTTCTTGAATTCATCAATAAATTCGTTAGATTTTAGACATTTAGGCACCGATCACCATTCACACCCTTTTTTTTTAATCCAAGTCCTCAGGATCGAGTTGAAGCCTGTCCTACCTTCCCCCCCGATTACTCTTTTCCTCCCCCATCTGAGATTGCACGACCCCCATCACCCCATCCACGCTCTGACTGACAGCTGTAAATGAGGATTGATTTATTCTGATTTGGGGAACGCAACATCTAAATGACGCATCCGAACAAAAGAGCCGAGCTGATGGATACGGAGATGGAAAGTGGGTGGGGGGGAAGTTTAAGGTGTGGGAGCAGCCAACATTTCATACTTAGCAGCACTATTTCTTGCTCAGTCACCGTGCCTCCAACCGCTAGCTACAGAACAGCGCCCCCTTCAGGCATTCACGCTCTGCATCTAGTACCCAAGAGCCACTAGCTGACAAAAGGAACACATTTTACATGGATGCATTTGGGTCATGCCTTATCCAAGTTCATGCTTTCTACATACTGTGAAGCGTTTCATTGCATGTGGCAGTTTTGGCATTATTAGTCACATAAAATGAAAAAAAAAAAAATCTTCTCAGATGTGCAATTTATACCAAACTACATGCATATCTTTTTTGAGCCACATTTTAAATCATCTGACCACAGAAAAATAAATGTGTGACTAAAGGCTGCCAATAAAACAGCTAGACAAAGTGCAGATCACATAGGTTGAAAGGGGAGGTTACCGTATGCCATTCAATTAAACACCGTGTATTTCTGGAAGATTCAAGGCGCAGCAAATATTGAGCTAGTTTGATTTGGATGAAAACGGTGCATCACGACAAGCAGAAGACGTCAATACTATATGAAGCACATACATGTTCAATAAAGACATTGTAATGAATGCTACATATAGAATTCATACATGTTCATGGTGCACACACCTTCTTGTGGATGTATATACATTCTGAAATCAGGTATAATGCATTTTGAACAACACATAGCAGGAAATATGACATGGATTGACATCGAATGCACGCTGTATTGAATGCAAGCTGTATAAAAGACATGCATACATGCGCTAACTGAACCCGCAGCATTTGATTTAAACTCAAACACCCCTCTCTAGATCTATACATCCATCTCTTTTTCCTTTCTTTCACTTCTGAACAATGAGAAGGAGTGAAGGAACCCCACCCTAACCCCACCACTTCCTGTGTGACAGACAAGTCTTCATCCTCCTTCTCGCCATCTTCATCATCCCTTTGGAGAAGGCGCCAGTCTCATCTTTTGGGCTAAACTGACTGACCAAGGCATACATACTATAGCAAGCCTGTCGAATGCATGTGCGTGTAGGTGATACTCACTTATGCTCTGGTTTAACCTGCTGGGAAAGTGCTGCTGAGAGGTGAAAGTGTCTAGAAGCAGAGTGGCCGTCCCCTGCCCATGCCATCTCCATCTTCCTCGTCCTGCAGAAGCAGGCCAGTGCATTTTAGGGCGTTTCTGACCTCCTTCACCAGAGGCCCACACTGTCTCTGCCACATGCACTCTTCTTTACCTCAAGGCGGCCCAGTGGTCTGAACCTAGATATGAGCCATGAGCAGGGTTACTGTGAGCTGCTTTATTATCAGAGGCGGAGCGTACCAAGTCGGCTCAGAGACAAGGGGGGAATCTGAGGAGAAGTCATTATTCAACCTGATCCATGTGTTTGTTCACCATCAGTCGTCCACCCCTCCTCCTCATCTCTCCTCCAGCATCCCTGCCAGCCTCGTCTGACAAAAAGACGATGGAGAGGAGGGGGAGGGATAGAGACAGTGAGAAAGAGAAGGAGAGAAGAGATAAGCACAGAAAAAGATGGGTGGGGGTAGACGGCTTCGAACCTTCAAAAAGCGAAAACCAAGAGGATCATTACACGACTTGAGTCAGTCAACAGACAATTCTCTATCCGCATTAATAACATTCAAACAAATGAAAATACATCTATCTTTTTATGGTAAGAAGTAATTGAGTACATCATCCAGTTGCTACCAACAAGACACATTCTGTTGTCTGGTAATACGTACTTATGTACATATTACAAACCTTGTCTGTACATTTCGATGGGTGTGGCTGTGTGATTGCCCAGAAATGTTAAACTTCTCTAAAATATATTTTGATTTTGAAAACAGCAACAAAAAAAAAATGGTGTAAAAAAGACCACAACTGATGTGTTGGGCAATGATTCGACACAGTTCCCAGATTGAGTGCCAACTTGTGGTCCTTTCTGATCCTGATCCTCTCCCACATTGCTTCCTGTCTGCTCTGTACTGTATTATCCAAATAAAGCCAAATAAGGGGGGGGGATTATATATATAATCTTTTTGTTTTTCTCATACAGGCTACAGAAATGTTCTTGTTTTTGACTACACTGAAAGCACAAATTTGGATAATCACCAGATGAGATCAATGTTTCCATCCTCATATACCCCACAGCTCTTCAGTAAGACATAAAATGGCCCTTCAGTAAGACTCAGAGTACCTCTTCATCGACACAAAACCACAAAAGTGCTCCTTTTAACTCATATTATTCTGGACATCATTTAGTATTATCATTAATATTGTTAAAATGGCATTTACTACAATGACTCACTTTAAAACTTAAAACGATCGATACTGTGGCTAAAAAACAGTCTCATCAAGTGGTTTCCTTTCAAACTAAAGCACGCTGAGAATATCATTTTATAACTAAGAAAAGTACAGAGCAGAGCACTGCTGCAAAAATCTGTCCAGTGTCTTTATTTAAAACAGATTAACTGAAGAATATTTGACAGCTTTTTTTATTTTTAAGCAACATTAATATCTTCCCCAATAGTGTTTAAACTGTACCAAATGTCGACCGCACATAACAAATGACTTAAATGTAAATATAAAAATCACTTGTAGCATTTTTTGTTGATCAAAATAGTCCCATAGAAATCATTAAAGATCATGTTTGTCATGATCTTATTACATCTGATGATGGATGAGGCTAGTACAGACCACAATAAATGGCATGACAAGAGCAGTTAAGCCAAAATGCTTTCGTTTATAACATTCAAGTGATATATTACTTCCTGTGATTTTGTGTAAATACATTTAGGTCACTACTTTACAGCATTAAAATGTATACACATGGAAATTATAAACATATCTGCCACTTAGGCAGTAAAATCTAATTTGAGCATAGTACAATCGGCTCACAATGCCGTGAGGTGCAATCATGGACAAAAAGCCACAAGATGACTCCAGTTTTAATTTCATGTGGTTTGCCAGCTCATTGTTGACTTCACTGCTGATTCCTGGCTCTAGTGAGCTCACTATAATTCACTAAACCTGTGTGGTATCATAATGCAGTCACCATAAACACCACCTTTCTGTCCCTCTCTGAACCCACATGTTTTTTGGTGCTTTGTGCATCATAACAGTTGCAATAAGGCATTAGTAATGCATTTATATTTTACGAATTTATATATCTGAATCTAAAATCCTCTGGTATCAGCAGCATCCACAGGGGGGCATAGTAACCACTGTTATTGTTACTGTTTCAGAAGGCATGAACATCATTCAAATGTCATTTTTCATTTTCCTATCTGGTTCTTTTCATTTTCAGTGGCAGCTGTCAGCAAAAACACTAAACTCTTAAGCTGTAATGAACTTGACTGTGTAATTTAAATTTTAAGAATTACATAATTCGCCTGATTCAAGTTTTGCCAAGTCATGTCTCTTGGCCTTCAGGCCTGTATTACTCTTACAGAAGCACTTAGACCTGAATTCAATAGTAACCCATTGCCACAGCAAAGTCACACCTTAGCAGACTTACATACTATAATCCAATTCACAGCATGCACTATATAATTTCTAAAAGCTGTGCATGTGCACTCAGCCTGCCTTCACAAATGCCCA